TCAAAAAGCAGGCTGTGCTGGAGCTGAGCACTCTGTGTTGGGGTTGCATGTGTATATGTCAGTCTCCCTGCTATGATCCATGAGTGGCTCGAGGCAGGGACGCACGGGACTTACTTGTCTGTGTGCCCCAGGGCCTGGAATGGTTCCTGGCAGAGCGTGAGGCTCCATTGAAGTTGAATGAATGTGCCCAGGAAGATTAAGGAAAGGAAAGCACTGAACTGTGACGCTATATCTTACTGATCCAGACAACTGTTACTTTTATGTTCTCTCACTTATCTGTGTCATATGTCTAATAACCAGAACTTCATGCAGAAGGAATTTCAGAAACCAAGCTTTTTGAAATTCAAGTTACAGAATTTTAAGTGGGCTCGGCCTTAAAATATCTGAAATTATAATACTTAAACCATAACAATATGGAGTAAGAGCCTGATTAGCCCATCAAGGAGGCTTGCTTCTTCTGTCTTCTGACTCAAAACATATATGAGATTTGCTCTCTGTGGAAAGTCATCTCCAACTCATGTATGGTGTTAGATTATTTTAGTCATCAAGGGGTTGTTTTATTTATTAATTATAATATCTTTAATTTCTACTTTAATACACTTATTTTGTGCTTTAGTTATCAGCTTTTCCTTTATTTTGTTGTTTCCTTGAGGTTGAACATCTGAGTATGATGATACCAGTTGTTACTTTTTAGACACACACACACACACACACACACACACACACACACATATTTAATTTCAGTTAGGTAAGAATCCTTTTAAATGAGTCATTTTCTCCTGGCTGATTTCCCCCAAAGGTATGAGTAAAAGAACAGCTGCCTAAACTAGCAGTCTCCAAAATGGAGTTCACACACCCCATGGTGAAAAAACAGCATAAATTATCTGTGTTAGTCTTTTCTCATGCTTTTATAATATACTAGAGGCCTGATGCACAAAATTCGTGCAAGGGCATTGGCCCTCATTGCACTGGCTTTGTCTGGAAGGTCTTCGTCTAGAAGAGCATCGAGAAGGTCATTCGGCTTTCAGGTCTAATTAGCATATTACCCTTTTATTGGTATAGATTAACCTGTTGGTGCTAATATAGGTATCTATACATATAAAGAGCAAAGGGCCATCACATCCAAAACAACCAAAAGGACAACTGAACAGGCTGTGTGGGGCAATCAGGCCAGCAGGGGATCAGTGAGGGGCAACCAAATGACCAAACAGTTGGCTGCATGGGGCAACCAGGCCAGCAGGGGGTGGGGGGGAGGGCAGTGAGGGGTGACCAGGCCAGCATAAGGGGATTAAGGGGGAACCAGGCCAGCGGAAGCGGGAGGGAGAGTTGGGGGTGAACAGGTTAGCAGGGGGGCAGTTAGGAGCGACCAGGCCGGCAGGGGTTCTGGCAGGCAGGCAGGTTAGGGGTGATCAGGCAGACAGGCAGGCAGGTTAGCAGTTAGGAGCTAGTGGTCTTGGATTGTGAGAGGGATGTCCAGATTGGAGAGGGTGCAGGCTGGGCTGAGGGGATCCCCCCACACACTTAGCCTGTGCATGAATTTCATGCACAGGGCCTCTAGTATGATTTATAAATAAACATAACGCTCAAAAAATGCATGCTCAGAATTTTGGACTGATAGGAATAGGCAATCTCATATGTTTAGAGACCTCTGCTCTGAGCATGGATGCTCTAAGCATGATGGGCAGTCTATCATTCACCAGGGTTCACATCCAACTGAAGGGGAGAAAAGTCAGGTTCCTCCAGCTCTGTGCAGCAGTAGAGTATCATTCCTGGTTGGTGGAGAGATGGAGAGCTTAGGAATATGGAAAGTGTGTGTTTTCTGGTCTTGTTATCTAAACTGGTGCTTTCTTTACAGCATAGGAGATATAATCAACAACATTTTAATAACTATGTATGGTGCCAGGTAGGTACTAGACTTATCGGGGTGGGGAGAATCCCTTTGTAAATTATATAAATGTCTAGCCCAGCGGTTTGCCACTCTGTTGACTGATGAGTTTTCCGACCACTGCATAAGGCATTACCCTTACCCAGAAATTTTGACTTCAGGTTAAAGACATTAGTACATTATGAAAACTGTTTTTTTTAAGTGTTTTTCCCTAAGGCAGTGGTTGACAAACTCATTAGTCAACAGAGTGGCAAACTGCAGCCCGTGAGCCACATGTGGCTCTCAAGCCGCAGTTTGCAGACCACTGGTCTTGCCACTACTCTGTACACCTGAAATTAATATAATGCTCAATATAAACTGTCATTTTAAAAAAAAAGTAACTACAAAAATTAAATTTAAAAATATAATAAAATGGCACTTTACTTGGGACTTTCTCTTCAAAAAAGGACTCAAGCCAGCCCAGTCCCTTTCCCCCACTATAAAGAACTCTTTACCATGACTGAAGGTCAATGCCAAAGCCATGGACTGAGCCCTATTCTTGGGCTGATGCCAACCCAGACTTCATGCTTAAAACGTGGCATTAGATTTCTTGACTTTAAGGTCATGGCCAATAGGCAATTTAGGGTTTTTTTTGTGTGTGTGTTTTTTGATTGTCCTTCCTGCCAAGAAAACTGACAATGCTCTCTATATCCTCTGCAATCTATGTTGATTGTAGGAATGGAGTGTGGATTATACATCCTTGGGTACAATTACCTCCCAGAATACAATGCATCTTTTTTCAGACATCCCAGGGAGATAATTTGGACATAATGAAGATCTATAGTAATCAGATAATTACTATCGATTGCTCTTTAGACGTCTTGATGAGGTAATTAGGGTCTACTGGAAAGAAGCTAGAACTGATTGATTGGCATGACTGTAATCTCAAAGATTTCTAATTATGTTTCTTTTCTTCTAATGGCTTATAAACAAACATCATTTTAGCTTTAGAATTTGTCAGGTGCCAGGTTCACTGGGAACATCAGCTTTCTCTATTATGCTAACTAGACACTGAGCATGAACATGATCAACATAAGCTCATTATACTTTCCTGCTAAAGCAAAAGAAACTGCAATTAACCCTCGCTTTTCTTATGCGTCTTCATTTCCACGTGGCCAGGTTCTTATCCAGAATGGAGTGTGAAGTGTTGTAGGAGGAGGTCCATGAGGTGCATGCGATTCTGGGCTGGGTAGATCTGTGCAGCCGACTGGGGTACCTCAGAGCCTGCTGAGCTGCAGGCACAGCAGAGCCAGGGCACAATGACACAACATATGTGCCCGGAAGGCCAACTGACTGGTTGGGGGCTGGGTGACTGCTCAGGCTCCTGTCATAAGTAATAGCTACTCATCAACCAGAGAAGTTGAATAACCTCAGCGTCAATACTCTCAAGTGGCTGGACCATGCTGGTCTTTCGTCAATGTGCTATTGCCTCATCTCTTCCATTAGACACTAATTAGAGGAGTCCCAGTCTGAGACCATTTCAGACCCAGTCTGAAATCCTAACACTTCCTACACCTTAGAGGACCTCTCAGCAGCTTGCCTTGTTCAGAAGAGTGGCCTGACTCAGGGATGATGGATGCTGAGAACCACTAAAGAAGCAGCTTCAATGAGCTGTTTACATCGAGTCAATGACTTTGGTGAGCCCTGCACTTACTAGACCTCAGTCTGGTTCCATAGTCACAATCCTCCTCTGTGACCCACATGTGCTTGGTATAATGGTAAGGCCCAATACATGTGTGTGAAATGGCCTGTGTTATTGGACACCATGTTTTCTATTGAAATCTCACCAAAGAAGAAAATTACATATGTATAAAATCCATTATTTTCTTGAACTCTTATTTATAAAATAAATAAGTAAAGGTTGCAATTTACCTTGTATTTGTGTCACTAAAACTTTTAAAAGCATGAGGGATGCACAACAAGCACAGGAGTGGAGCAAAGGAGACCCAGGGTATGTTGTTCATTGATCACCTGTGGTTCAATGCTGTTTGGATAATGACAGCTGTAATGGAAATGCTCCATTAACTCCCATTAACCATCTTGAGGGATGTAAGTACATATAGAATGTATCTTTGTTTTATATCTTCATAGTATAAGTAAATTTATATAGCTTTTTTTATCAGCCACAGTTACTGAGATGTTCTTTTTAAAATTTAAGCTAAGTATAATAATTGCTTAGTTCATTATGATACTGAGAAAACTTTCTAATCTACAGCAGTATATTTTCCTCTAATAAGACATATAGTGAGCACATCTCAATGTTTTTTGATAACTTGAAATCCTGCAATGGAATATTTTAAGCAAAATTTTACTATTTTATTTCTGTAGGTATGGAAACTACAAAAGATTGAAAAAAAATTCCCCAAACATTCAAAATGCTTGTTCATGAGTTAGTTTTACCAAGTCTAAGACATGAATTTGTTTGCTGGTTACTTGCCCCTTTCCCTAAAAGTTCATTGAAAAGCTACTTATCTATTTATAATTCCACCTATTTTTTTTTCTTTTTGCTGTTTGTTTGTGTGTTTTTTCCATTTGGGGTTCTTATGGTTGTATTCCTGTTTGTGAATAAATAGTTGGCTTGTTCATCGGGAAGTGCACTCTGTAATGAATTTGCCCCCAATAGTGTGATTGCTGAAGCAGAGTTGATGGTCAGTGGGATCCGGTCACATACATACTGGCAGGGGCTTCAGCTGAAGGGCCTCCAGGCTGCAGAGGTGGAGGTCATCTATTGCACAAGTTAGCAGGGGGCGGGAAAGCGCAGTGAGGAAGCACTCATTGGATGAGAGAGCTGATGAAAGTGATACAATTCAGCAAAACAGGCTTGGCTCAGTGGATAGGGCGTTGGTCTTCAGACTGAAGGGTCCCAGGTTCGATTCTGGTCAAGGGCATGTACCTTGGTTGCAGGCACATACCCAGTAGGGGGTGTGCAAGAGGCAGCTGATCGATGACTCTCTCTCATCGATGTTTCTAACTCTCTATCCCTCTCTCTTCCTCTCTGTAAGAAATCAATAAAATATATTTTTAAAAAGTGATACAATTCAGTAACATGCTTTTGGTTTGGGTCGCGTCATTGCAGGAAGTTTTGCAGCTTGAGAGACAGATGGGAGGACAGCTCCTAGAAGAACCGAAGGCTCTTCATTTCAAAGGCAGCACCCACAACCTGCGCCTGTCCATCCACGATATCGCCCATTCCCTCTGGAAGAGCAAATTGCTGGCTAAGTATCAGGTAAGGTGCCTAAGACCAACTCAAGGCTTGGAGCCAACTCCATGAAAGAGGACTGCACTTATTAGACATGACAAAGTCCCTTCCCTGAAGTCAGTCAGACAGACATCAATCAGCACTTGTTTCTCCAAAAGGATTTAGGATTATTTAAGATTTTTGAAAAGTACTCTAGACATACTTGAAGGAATGCCTTTTTCTTAATTCTCCTTCAAATAATTGAACTATCATTGTTTTAGCCCTAGCAAATAAGACTTCAAGTCCCTGGTTACATTTTCAGGGTAAATGTTTACATTGGCTTGATTTTAAAAACTCTCAAAGGCATTCATAAGAGAAACAGAAGAACACTGTTAGCCTACCTGACACAAACTTAGCAGGAACCCCAGTTTTGAAACTGAAATGGAAAGTAAAATAAAACCTGGGCCCTGGCCAGTGTGGTTCAATTGGTTGGGCATCATCCCTGCACAAATTAGTTGCTGGTTCAATTCCTGGTCAGCACACATGCTCAGGTTACAGGCTAGATCCCCAATAGGGGATGTGCAGGGGACAGCCATCAATGTCTGCTCTCACATCAATGTTTCTCTTTTTATCTCCCTCTCCTTTCCTCTCTCTTTAAAAGGCAATGAAAATATTTTAAAATAATAATAAAAAACTAGTCAGGATTATAGTAAATATTAGCTTACTGATCCCAAGCCCCATTGTATGTTCCTGTGGAAAAGGCATAGGAACTCTCCAGAGGTTTCTACCTCCTCCTCCATCAGCCTGAGCCAGTGGTCGAGAAACTCATTAGTCAACAGAGCTGCAAACCATGGCTCGAAAGCTTCATGTGGCTCACGAGCTGCAGTTTGCCGACCACTGGCCTGAGCTATCAGGAGACTACGGTACGTGGCAGGATCTCTAGCCTCATTTCCAGTTCAGGAGATGCAGACACACTTTGGTAAGCTGTGAAGATTGGTCTACATGCATGTAAATCCAATCCCATGCCAGCACTGCAACTAGACTGGTTATGATTTCCTGGTATAAGTCAATGAAAATACTAGAAGGAATGAAGGGAAGATTTTCCATCTCCATTCTTATTTTCATACTAGAGGCCTCGTGCATGAATTTATGCATAGCTTGGGTTCCCTCAGCCTAACCAGTGATCAGGTGCAATCAGGGCCCATCTCACCCAGTCCCAATCAGGCTGGATGGTTGGTTGGCCAGGGGGAGGAGCCACAGGAGTTGGCTGGCAGGCTTCATTGGGTCCAATTGGGCCACCCAGTGTCGGGGGAGGGAGCAATCACACGAGATTGGCTATGGGAGTGCACTGACAACCAGGAGACAGCTCCTGCTTTGAGCATCTGACCTCTAGTGGTAAGTGCATGTCATAGCTACTAGCAGGTCTTCTGGTCATAACAGTCACTTAGGCTTTTATATAGAGAGATGTTTAATACTCACACATACATTGTGGGAGACAATTGATAACAGGTTAAGTAACTTGCCCCAAATCACCAAGTAGGTGAGGGGACCATGTCCTCATTTGCACTTCATTCTCTGCCGTTAGCCACCTGTTCATCCATTTTTTTAATGTATCAACCTTTTCTTTATTGAAACAGGTTTCAGGGTGGGCTCTGTAAGGTGGTCTAGACTTTTTAAAATGCATGCCTGCTAGAGGCTCAGTGCTTTTTAGGCCAAGGACTTTTCTGCGGCAGCTAACCAAGTCTCCAGTTTCCAACTATAGTACATGTTGCTTCCCCCCTGTCCTGTGCAAAGGGAAGATATAGGCATGAAAGGGACCTGGATCAGCCCATTATCCTTTAGAGCTTTTTTGCTTTTCTCCAGAACACCACAGCAGGGTTTCATTTTAATGAGCAATGACTGGAGTGTACAGGTTTTATTTAAACCATTTACAATGGCTTTTTTTTTTGGCTTTTTTTTTTTTTTTTTTTTTTTTTTTTGTAAATGAGAGACAAGTGGCAGACTGGTATAGAGATTGTGGAGGCTGACTCCCTGGGTTCAAATCTCAATTCTGCTACTTACTAGCTGTGGAGCTTTGGCTGGCGAATTTAACATCTCTGGGCCTCAGCTTTTTCATTCGAAAAGCAGTTTGGGCTGGATTTGAGGATAGGTAGGCCTGTTGTGATTAAATGAAGTAATATGTGCAATACTGAGAAGAGCTCTTGGCAGCCCCGTATCTGATAATTCACCTTTGGTATTAGTGACTTATTTGTGGGTAACACGATTGTATCGTTTAGGAAATTCCTTTTTACCACATCTGGAGTGGTTCTCAAAGAAACCTCCACTGCACATTCACTCTGGAAAGATTCAGCCTGAACACGGTGGAGCTGGTTTGCAAATTGTGTGTGCGACAGGTGGAAGGAGAAGGTCAGATCTTCCAGCTCAACTGCACCGTCTCAGAGGTAAGAAGCTCTGCAATCCGGGGACAGAATGACTGTGGGGAGGAGAGACAATGTGGAGTACAAATGTATCTTGACCCAGGCCACATAGGAAGTCCTTAAAAGCTTTCTACATGTTCTATTTGTTAATAATATGATTTTTTAATGGACACAGAGAGCTAGATACATCCTATATAAAGAAAGGCTAATATGCAAATCAACTGAATGGCAGAATGACTGGTCATTATGATGTGCACTGACCACCAGGGGACAGACGCTCAATGCAAGAGCTACCCCCTGGTGGTCAGTGAGCTTCCTCAGGGGGAGCACCGCTCATTCAAAAACTGGGCTCAAGGCTGGTGAGCACAGTGGCAGTGGCAGGAGCCTCTTCTGCCTCTCAGGCAGTGCTAAGCCATCCCCTGAGGGCTTCTGGACTTTGAGAGGGTACAGGCTGGGCTAAGGAACACTCCCTCCAAGTACACAAATTTTGTGCACTGAACCTCTAGTAAAGGAATAAAATAGGGAATTCTTTCAAGTCTTTTACTTTTTATGACATAAATTGAAGGATCATATTCTAATGTTCTGCAACAGATCTGAATACCAAATATAAGGTTAATGTAAGTAATGTGCACATGGAGTAACTTTTCCAAAGCATCCCCTGATGTGCTACATCCCCACCTCTGCCACCTCTCATCCCTGCCCCCTTCTATCCTTTGGGAGCTTGCCTACCTTTTCTGGAATCATCTGCTGCCTACTAAGGTGGAGGAAGAGAAACTGGCCTCTGCCCCCACCCCTCCTTTTTCTTCTCTTTCACTTTCCTCCATGTTGAAAGGAGACACCTCTGGGAAACATCATTCTCTAATATAAGAAGATATGCCAGAAACAGGGTGGGTGTGGGTAAATGGGTGAGGGAGTCAAAAGTTGCAAATTTCCAGTTCCAGCAAAATAAGCCACGGGAATGTCATGCAGAACATAGTGACTGCAATTAATAATAAGGTATTGTATCTTTGAAAGTTGGTAAGAGATTAGATCTTAAAGGTCCTCATCATAAGAAAAAAATAACTATATATAAGAATGGATGTTAACTAGACTTACTGTGGTGATTATTACACAATCTATGCACATGTTGAATTATATACATAATATAAAGCTCTACGTCAGTTATACCTCAACTACAAGCCTGGTGCACAAAATCCGTGCATGGGGGAGGGAGAGTTGTCCCTCAGTCCAGCCTGCACCCTCTCTAATCTGGGACCCCTCAGGGGATGTCCGACTACTGGTTTAGGGATTGGGCCCAAACCTGCAGGCAGACACTTCTCTCACAATCCGGGTCTGCTGGATCCCAACCGCTCACCTGCCTGCCTACCTAATTGTTTCTAACTACTTCTGCCTGACAGCCTGATTACCCCCTAACCACTCCCCTGCCAGTCTGATTGGTGCTGAACTGCTCCCCTGCCAGCCCAATCACCCCCAACTGCCCTCCCCTGCTGGCCTGATCTCCCCCAACTTCCCTGCCATATCTTGTGGTGGCCATCTTGTGACCACACAGGGTGGCCATCTTGTGTGAGGGTGTGACGGTCAATTTGCACATTACCTCTTTAATATATAGGATAAAGATAATTAAGGTGGAAAAAAAGATATCTTCTTTCCCAGGATAGGATAAATGTTCCAGAAATAAAAGTAACATCTGCAGATTTTCCCAGCTACTTGCCGCACTTTGCCTTTCTCTGCTGTGATCCTCACTCAGTTCGGTTGATCACTTCTCTACAGAGACAGCAATATGCACTGCTAGGTATAAGTGCTCTGTGTGGAAACGGGTGCACATGAGGGTGTCGAGGTCTCGGGTCCCCTGGCCCCCAGGGCTGTGATTTGACAGTGGGCACCCTGCTGGAAACAAAGGATTCGGATTAAGCATAATGATCAGAGGCAGCTCATCCAGGGCCTCACGGAGCTCAGCTCCGTGCTGTTTGCTGAGCTGCAGAGACCGGTATTGCCGTATTTTAACACTACAGCGGGACAGCACATGATTTAAAAGGCGACTCTCCCTGGCTGTCTCAGTGCAGTGAGGAATGAAATGTCAGGCTGTGCAGCAAGCCGAGCTCCCCATGCTGTATTTAAAGACTGTCTTCCTGAGCCAGCCCCGGTGGGGAGCGTGGCAGCCTCCAAGACACTCCATCCCTCTCTCCCACAGCCTGCCGTGTGGTCATCATCTCCTCCGGAGTTTCAGGAGACTTCTGACTCATAAACAACTTTAGTCACAGACCCACCCGGTGACATGGATCAGAAATGAGCTGGGTGTCAGGGTGCCATGGCAACCACAGGGCCCTCCTCACAGCCCTATCTCCCCTCACACAGCACCACCCCTGCTGGCTCCGGAGGGTGTGTTCACTTTCCAGGCCCAGCAGGTCTGCAAAGTTCAATAACTGCCCAGCCCCAGCTACAACAAAGGCTGAAGGATTTTGGGGGCGGGAGGGGGGAAGGGGGAGAGGGGGATGGTGGGAGGGCTGTCCCTTTGATGCTTGCTTTCTGTGCAGCGGGAATGCTGGCTGTGTGATGAAAAGGTGGATCAGATGCGCAGAGAATGAGAGACCCATGGAGGCTATTCCCCACTAGGTCCGCTACCCACGCCCTCGCTCTGAGGGGAGAGACAACTCTGCATAGTGTGCTGACCATGTAAGGGCTTTCTCTTGCCAACGTGGAGGGCGGAGAAGATGATTTCTTTGGTAATGTGGTGGCGGGCAGCTCAGAGAGGCCAGCCTCAGTCCCATAGAAGGCCTATGCCAGCCTGGTACCAGAGGGAGGGGCAGAAATGACTGCAGTCAGAGGACTTTGGGGATTAAGGGGCTCTGTGCTGCTCTTATTTCTGGGTCACTGAGTCCCACTGTTGTTAGCATTTGAATGCGGTGCAGGTGGCCCACCGAGGGGGTGGGAGGAGTGTGGGGCTGGCTTCTGAGGTGGAAGAGTGAACCTCAGCTCTGAGCAGCTTGCTCTGGGGAGCCTGAGCTTGCTCATCAGGAGCTCAGACCAGGGGGGCCCTGTGATGGAGCAACCATAACCAAACAGAGGAAGGCTCCGTTTGTGAGGTCTTTCTTCTGACATGGCTCCTTTCTGGGGTCCCCCGCAAGCTGGCAGGTGGACAGGGCTGCAGTGGCCATGCCCTGCCTCCCAGGCATGAACTGACTTGCCAGGAATGTGCTGCTCACACCCCTCCCCCCACCAGCCACCGCCTCTCAGGGCCTCCCAGCAGTCCTTTACAAAGACGTGGCCCTTGGCCTCTGTAGCCAGGCTGAGGACCCTGTCCACCAGGGAGGCCAGGCTGTGCTTGACATAGACCATGGTGATGTCAGGAGCCGGCCATTGTCCCTCTCCAAGTGCTTTGGCCAGAGATTCCTTAACTGGAAACAAAGCCCGGAGGCTGGCAGAGATGACGTTCAAAAATGAAAATGTCTGCCGGCTGGTGTGGCTCAGTGCTTGAATCAGGAGATCACTGTTGATTCCTTGTCAGGGCATATGCCTGGGTTGCAGGTTCCATCCCCAGCTGGGGGGCTAGGTCCCCAATAAGGGGCATGCAAGAGGCAGCTGATAAATTATTCTCTCATTATTGATGTTTCTATATCTCCCTCTCCCATCCTCTCTGACAAGAGAAATATATAGATATATCTTAAAGAATGATTTTTTTTAAAGTATGGGCATAAATGAATGTCAGAATGTAAATGAGAAAAGTTTTGTGTGTGTGTGTGTGTTTTTAGAGGGATGGGAGAGTAATAAAAGGGAAGCTTCCCATCACCACCAAGAGAGAAACATAGCTTCGTCAGGCCTTCCATTCAGTTTTAGCTACAGAGGGAGATCTTACAAATAATGTTCACTATTAATACACAACACTTTTGTGTACACCAAGAATAAATAATATTTAAAACGTTCAAAGTAACATCACTCTGCTATAGCCCTCCCGTCAGTTGGCCTCTTCTGCTTTCTGCACTCTGTTCAAAACAACCATTGGAAAGCCTGGGATTCCTCTTTGGCTTTCGGAAGAGTCAGAATATGGGAGTGGAAAGTTGAATCTGCTGAGGACTGGGTGCTGAAAATGCGTGTCGTCACCCATAGCAGCTGTTTGGGTAATGGTGAGAAACCATATGCTTAACTAAGGGACTCACAACATCAAAGACAGATGGTACCAATATCACAAACAATTATTGTAATAAGCATTCTGTGAGTGTAAACTCCACTGTTACCTGAAAGTGAGGGGAGAGCTAATAGGAACTGAAATTACTAGATGAAATTTAAATGTAACTGTAGAGGTGTATTTTTCATTTACCGCCAAGGCTGTCAGCCATCTGATAAGAGAGACAAGACAGTATGCCTTGTCTGTTGGGCTTGTTTCATCCCCACAGAAGTAAACAGGCACAGCAGCCTGGACTAGAGACTCAGACTGGAAGGGCCACCGGAAGTGCTGACGGTTCTCTATTCATTAGGAAAAGGTTGACAACATGGATAGGTGAGCACAGAGGTCTGCAAACTGCAGCTCGCAAGCCACATGCAGCTCTTTGGCCCCTTGAGTTTTTAACAAAGGCCAGCTTAGGAGTACCCTAATTAAGTTAATAACAATGTACCTACCTATATAGTTTAAGTTTAAAAAATTTGGCTCTCAAAAGAAATTTCAATCGTTGTACTGTTGATGCTTGGCTCTGTTGACTAGTGAGTTTGCTGACCACTGGGTGAGCAGACCTTCCTGAGAATCATGCCTGCTTGGCTGTGGCCCTTGCCATCAGCATTTAGTGGTGAGAAATGTGACTTTAGTTGGAAGGAAGCTCCACACACAACTCTGTGGGGTGGGCTTCTGCCTGAAACTGGCTTCAAACCCTTTCTGCACCAGGCAAAACATTTTCTTTCATTTCAACAAATACGAGCTCAGTAGCTCCCAGGTGCTGAGTATCACAGGAGTTCTGAGGATGACAAAAATCCTCTCATCCCCAAGAAATGTGAGCAATCAAAGGAAGTAACATATAAATACGGCCAACGTGCATCAGCAGACTCTGAGGGCTGCAGAAGAGCAGGGGGAAGTGTTTTAGGCCTCCGGGTTGATGGGGGTATTTGCTCCAGGGAGGCTCGGGGGACTTGGTTTTCGTCCTGACTTTGAGGGGGTTGCGAGGCAGAGATTATCTAAAAGGAGGTGCTAGGGACAGTGAGCAATCCAACCTGAGGAAACTGTGAGTCACCTCAAGGCAACCTGAGAAAGATTAGGGTCAGAGGGTCAGGCGGTGGGAGCACATGGATAGGGGGCCCTTACGTCATGTCAGGCCTCGCTCTGCATTGTATGGGCATCCCCTCTGGGATCTCACACCAGCTGACAAGGTAGATGCTGCTGCTACCCCAACTGCCTAATTAAAAGTTGTGGCTCCCTGTGGCAGGAGGGAATGAAGTACTTCTAAATGAGGGGCTGGAGAAGCAGCAGCTTGGCACTTTAGATCAGTGTGGCAGATGGGGATGGGCTGCAGGTAAGCAGGAGGAAGTTTCTGTGGCCAACAGCAAGAAGAGTCTTTGGAGATAGCGCTGTACTAGGCAGACCCCTCCCTGTAAGAATGTGCTCTCCAGGGAGGCACAGTAAGCGTGTGGTTGTATTTGTGGGACATGGTGGTTTCCCCTGGACTCTGGTGTTACTGCTCACATAAGAAGCAAGCAGGAGCTCCTTGTGGCCGATGGCAGTGAGAGGTGGGAATACCATGTGCTTTTCCCTCACCTTCCCCTCCCCAACCCGGACATACATTGTGTGATGCCTCATGTTAATTTGGGCATGTGGGTTCAGACATCCCCAACATAAATCCATTGGGAAACCCCACGTGCCCTCTCAGGTAACAAACAGTCTGCTTCCCTGTGTGGGAGCCTTGTGCCCTTGAGGACCGGAGCCCTCCCTTCTCGCGGTCCCTTGGAAGAAGCCCTGTGCCCGCCGAAGGGGAAGCTTCGGGGGTCATGTTTTCATTCAGGGCTTCCAACTCCCATTGTTGCTTCTGTGTTTCATACCAGTCTTTTAAAACCCTGGCATGTGCTGCTGGAGTTAGCACAAAGGAGCAAATGAAATCCTGGGCGTCTCTGCTTGCCAAGCTTTAGGTTTGGAAGCCAAACGCTGTGGTGGCAGCCAACACCGCTGTGTGTATTAAAACACAAAGAGTTTTGTTTAGCGCTAATGTGCGTATGCGCCCTGTGCGGTGGGAGTACACACGCCTCGCAGTGACCGCTGGCTGCTGATCCCGGAACGCAGGGTGCACTGTCAGTCAGCACTGGGACCCAGACAGCAGCCACCCTGCATACAGGAGCAGCAAGGGTGGGGCTCTGGGGGGAGGGGGGGAGGGAACACTGACCCCTGAGCTGAGCATTACAAGACACCAGAGTCTCCTTGATGCTTAAAGCTGTGGATGTCTCGATTATCCTCTAGCAACTAATTATGTGCACCAAAGAGCTACCTGCTTTAGAAAAAAAAAAGAGAGAGAGGTGACATTTAAAGTAGATTAAGGAGATTTTCTCCTGTTATTGCTTTAATCGTTCCCAGGCAACATTTGCTTTTGCTTTTCCAACCAGCAGAAGATCAAAAAATGATTAGAGTTTCTCCTGCAGATGAAATTCAGACTTTTTGCATTCGTGCTGTTTTATGAGCTGAAACTATTTTAAAAGCCAATTTATGGTTTTCTCTACTACCATTCGATTTAAACAAAATAAGGGTGTACAGTCATTGGAAGATTCCATTAGCAGCTTGCCCTATGGCTATTTATTGCGCTCACCATTTTCTTCCCAAAGAAATTAGTCTTAATTTGATATCATTTAGAAGAGAGCTGTGTTCCGTTGCATTCCGCAAAAGCAGCCGAAGCCATCTTCCACGGAGGTTAGCCAGGAAGGTACTTGGGCATTTGCCTGGGTCTTCCCCCTCAGGGTCAGACGGTCCCTTAAAGCTCTGAAGTTTTGGCCTTCTGATCTCAGATCTGTTCAAGATCTGTTCATTCATAAATCCAAGGCTATGCAAAGCCAGCCCAGCATGCACCTTTCCTCTCCGCCTGGTCACCGAGAGCTGATTACAGCTCTCACAGGAAGAACAGTAGCCCCCATTCTCTTCTTCCTGCTCAAAGCGAGGCATTATGGTGATGGGAGCTGCTTTTGTCTCCAGAAATAATGCTGTGTTGTTCCTGTGCCTGAACTACAGGAACCCACCGGCATGGACTTGCCTCTGCTGGATCCAGCGAGCACCATCACCACCATGACAGGCCCCAGTGCTTTCAGCATCCCTCCCCCGATCCGGCAGAAGCTCTGCAGCAGCCTGGATGCCCCCCAGACAAGAGGGCACGACTGGAGGATGCTGGCGCATAAGCTCAGCCTGGACAGGTGGGTGTGGCCAGATGCCAGGACTAGTTCTGTTAGACATAAGCCTCCAGGCTAGTAATGGTTAGACACAGGGCAGCATTCTTTTTCTTTTTTTCCCCGCTATACATCTATTTATTTTCCTTCCACAAACGTGCGTTAAGCTTCTTCCTTGCATCGGGCACTATGTTTTTGCAGACACGTGGTTGAGAGACATCCTGGGCTTATCTGACATTTGCAAGTATCAAGTTTTGTGATTCACTCTGCAAAGCTGATGGGCTGAACTCCCCTAAGTAATATGTCCCCGCGCTAAAGTAATTATTGTTCTCTATCTCCTGTAGAGCAGGACCTGCAGCTGCATGAGTCACTAATATGCAAAACACAGCATTGACATTCAGGTACCAGGAGACCTCAGAGGCCTCTTCCTTGTAAAATGTTGCCATCGCTACCAAGCGAGAGACATGGCATGACCTGTCAGAGCTGATTGGAGCCTGGGCTGGAAAGAGAATACAAGTCTCTTGATTTCCTGTTGAGGATGTGACCCATACACATGTTGTCTCTTAAATTATCTTACTCAGAGTTGAGGTTAACAAAGTTAAACCTTACATTTCCTGCCTGGGGCTGATGTAATTAAGTATGGGCTAGTTATCTAGGCTGGTTCACTGTAAAACACAGTTTCTCTCTCAAGTGGGACCTAGATTCATAACACGCAAATGGACAGACAGAAGTGGTTGTAAAAAATAAAGGGAAAATTGCCCGGCTGAGGTACCTAAGTGGGTGAGCATCGACCTGTGATCCAGGAGGTCACAGTTCAATGCCTGGGTTGTGGGCTCCATCCCATCATGCAGGAGGCAGCCGGGTCAATCCATGATTCTCTTTCATCAGTGATGTTTTTATTTCTCTCTACTTTCAGTTTATTGACTTAAGGAAATAATAAAAATATCTATTTTTTAAAGTAAAGAGAAAATAGATCTGTAAATAATGCCATTAAGCAGCACATTTGCCCATTCCCAATTATAGGTACTTGAATTACTTTGCCACCAAGTCGAGTCCAACTGGAGTAATCCTGGATCTTTGGGAAGCACAGAACTTCCCGGATGGAAACCTGAGCATGCTGGCAGCTGTCCTGGAAGAAATGGGAAGACATGAAACCGTTGTGTCTTTAGCAGCAGAAGGACAGTACTGACCCACACTGGACTGGAGGCACAGGGAGTCTGTGGCCATCCGGGGATCACCGCTGAGGAGGAAATCCAGTCCAGACCAATGAGCTTCACAGGCAAGATGGCAGTTGGAGAGAGAAGGAAAACAGATACCAACTACCACCCTATACGCCCGCCTTATGGGACCTCATCACCGAGTTAAGAACAATTATGTACATTTGTACCTTGAATTTAGAAACCAACCTGATCTTCCTCTTTGTTGGGCTGTATGCTGTGTGGTACAGGATCTTACAGTTTCCTAGGAAACGCTTTTTATTGCTATCCAGATATATGGATAAACTTTCTTAACAAACCCAATTTCTACAAACGTTGTTTACATCAGATTGGACAGGGATGCAGACACTGTCCATGGCTCGTTCTATTTTTGTTTAAATCATTTGGAGTTGAAGCTGTGGACGGTTTGTTGTGTCTATTTCAGATTAGTAATTCACAGAAAAATCACAGACTTTTGCTACAAATCATGTGCATCAAGTGTCTCCGATAATCCTCCCATCAGTGTTCCGTTTCTAGAGCTTGTAAAACCAGTGTTACCGTTTGTATCAGGGAAGTGGGGAATCGAAGTGTGAAGGAGAAACAACTAAGACTCCTTATTCCTTTAGGACACCCGCCCGGGGCCCTCTGGGAATAAAGCTGCAGCATTGCAGGAAAGACAGTGATTCACGTTCCACCACACAAACAAGCATTTCTTCGCAACATGTGTGTTTGTGGTATGCAATTTAAAGTGTTGTTGTTGTGTTTTTTTTTAAGGTACCATTATTATCATTATTATTATTGATGAATATTTACAGGTATTCTAGTGAAAGGCTTTTCTTTTAGCTTCGGTTTTTGTTAGCAGTACTGTTAGTATTTAGGTATTGACTAGACCTGCCTCACCTTTTCCCAAAACAAGGTGGGCGTGGTCACCAGTTTAATTAAACAGGCATTGCTTCCTTGACCTTTCATCTTTCCCCATCATTCTGCCCCAGAAAGGTAGTTAATGCTTAACGGCTTTGTCCCTCTGTTCTTGCAGTGTGCTCAGGCAGGGTCTTTCTCCCTTGAGTCCTCTATTCAAGTTCACTAAATACTGGGGTCCTGTGGTCCCACACTGACTCCCCTCAGGACTCTTTCTCCTTTAGAGGCAATGTGTTTGGAGGAATGGCCTCTGAAATTAAAATCAGGAAACCAGTTCTCATGCTGGGTTTGTCATGGTCTAGCTGTGCTACCTTGGGAAAGTCATTGAACCTCACCAGACCTCAAGAGTCTTCACCTGTAAAACAGAGGGGTGGGATCAGATAATCTCAAGGTTCCAACATGCTGGACCTCCATTCCAGTTCCATTCATTAGTGTGAAGACCACAGTGGGCTCTGAGCTGGATCATTTAAAGACCCATCAAGGCTAGACTCTTGTCCAGGCTACATTATGCCTTTCAACTTGTTCCAACTTGGAAGACAATTATTCTAACCTGTAACATATTTGATATGCTTTCAAGTCTTGTCTTTGTGTCATTGAATTATGCTATTCCCTGAGAGATGGCATCTTTAATTATCACTTTCCTTCCTCTCTTGGAACTATTTGCCTTCCTGGTTAGTAGCAAGTTATGTCTTATTGTTGTCTTGGTCAAATTTTTTTAAATTAAAAAAAATTAACTGAAAAATAGTTCATCAAGGGACTATTTTGTGTAAATTATGGTATTTCCTTAGGACCACCACAGGCTCTTTGTTTTAACACAGGGACTCCATTCATTCAGCAGGCGGGGATTAGAGAGTTAAGAGCCCAGTGGCCTAACCAAGATTGAAAAACAAGAACCCACATGTATGAAGAACCTTCAACACATAGCTGTGGTTTACTTTTGGGCTAGAGGTGTCCAGGTTGCTGAATGGATTTGAATTAGGAGGAATTTCATGCATTTCTCCATTCTTTCCACATATATTTCCTCTCCTGACTATGTTGGTGACTTCTTTATATTTCCAGCCTCCTTCATCTTTGTCATTGAGAAAATATTGATACCTTGATATGGAAATTTTCTTCCAGACCTTTTATTTCTCATTTTTTGTTGTAGATATGCATTCCATAACCAGTCTCTCTCAGGCCACTCCCAGTACCATATGTAAAATATGTTACACTTATCATGAAAGGGAAAGATTGCACTAATAAGCAATTTCAGTGGATAATGTCTGTACCAATGCATATTTGACCAAAAGATAGTAAAATTGTATTCTACATAAAAAAAATTGTAAATATATATTTTTTAAAAATGGAGAAGAAGAGAGCTATTATCCATTGCTGCATCTTGAAATAACTTCTCAAGATTGCTCATCATTACTGGTTTGGAGGGTTGTCATCTATGGAAATCAAGAATTAGAAAGCTGCAGGCTTCTCAAAGGAACTTTCATGCCTAGGGAAAAATAAAGAGGAGCAAATATCCAGTTACCCAGATAATACATTCAAAACTTGAACTAGAAAAAAATCATTGATAATCATCATCGCAGAAATATTGAACATAGCAGGCAGGGACTATATCATCAAAGCCATCAAGGGCCTTTGGCATTCACTTCAGCTGCTTCATATTTTGGGGTTCAGCACCCCAGCACCAGAAATAGGAAGAGTGGTTGATTCTTTACTAAGTAAGGTGCTCATCTACCATCTGTTGTAGAACCCTGTTAAGTTTCCTATCAAATGAATGGCTACTTCCATACGCACCTCTTATGTCAGATAATCTTCACTATGAATTCTAATTTCCTTCTTTGGAAAAATGTATGTAATAGCTGTTAGTTTGCTCTTAAATTCAGAGGCTCCGGAGCCAACATTTCATTTCAAAGGAGTTACTTCATCAGCTATTCTATGTGACCTGTCCTGCCTTCCATGTTTATTTAGCTTGTGCAGAAAGACAAGGCTTACTGCATTTTGAAGGGAAAAACCTATCACTTGTGCATGGTGCCATCTAGTGGTGTATAACACAAACTACCTTCAGCTTAATATAAAAACTCACTAAGAGTTGTTTGACAAAGGAACTGAAAACTTGCGAAGTAAATAGGGCCTTTATAACAAATAGATGTGTGGACACTTCACTTAAAATATAGTTTTCGTATTCTACTTTTTTTCTTCTCAATTAAAATATCCATATCAAAAATTGCATGTCAATATTAGCCTATTATGTCATCAACACATTCCTACATGACACATCTCAAGTTGGATTTTGATAATAGAAATACATAAACATGTTTATAAAAGTCATTGAAGAGTTGTCATTTTAATATTTATATTTTTCATTGGGCTTTATATTAAATCTTTGTTTTAAATCTCTTTACCCTTGGTCCTCTAACATTTATTTCTGGAAATGTGAGAAGCATCCACTTGGAAAAAAATGTTTTATGTATGAAAATGAATATCATATGTCTAAGTGATTGAAAATTGTGGCTGTTGATCAATGAGAAAAAAAAGAAGCTTCCTTCTTTTGAATTTGGGGATCTAAAGGCAGAAGTCTTCTTTTATTTCTTTTTTTCCCCTCACTACACTCATTCAAAGTTCCTTAAAGTGATCTAGAAGGAATAGAAGTTGGATTCAGAATTGATAACTGGACACAAGGTGATGCAAATGTGTAACACCAAGGTCCTCACAGCTAACAGCTTTTTCACACACAGTGTGACTACCAATGTGGATAGCCAACTCAGTTATCTAGAAAAATCCATCCCACATCAGCAGTGGAGACTCTTCCAAGGCAGGGCAATGTCTTGGATGAAGTGTTCAATATTAAACTGCTTAACCATTGACCATTTTCATCTATACTTTTCTTCTGTATATTTTCAATTCACAACATTTAAACAGTAGACCATTCTTTAAGAAGACATCAGGAAGTCTGAGTTCAGGACACTCTGGGAACAACACATCTAAGCATATATTTGAATGGCATTTCTCCTATATCCTTCAAGTAAGCATTCCAATAATAGAATCAAACTTTTACTTCTTCTGGAAAGGATCAGACAAGGCTATTTTCTTATGTAGTCTATTTGTCTCCATCAGGGACAGAGCTGTGCTCTTGGTCCACTTACTCCTCTGTCATCAATGTATGAGAAAAGGAGCCAGTCAGGGGATCACTATCACCCCAGAATTCACAAGTGGAAAAAACCATACGAAGACCTGCAAGAGAGTGTAAAGGAGGTGGGAAAAGTTTAGAGCTTTGGGTTGAATATCAGCTTTAGCTTTTGCTGAGCAGTTGCTCGAGACAACTTATCCATTTCACTAGGAGATTTCAGTACAACTCCAAAGCTGATGCAGGAAAGAAGGACCAGGGAAACAGCTGAATTGAAATGGGGTTTCATCCATCTTCTTTGAGAACAGAGGAGCTTTTGTGAATCAGAATGTTTTCACTTAAAGCCAATTATTTACAAAGATGATAATAGTCAATGAGCATTAAAATTTATAGATCCAATAAGGGAAAGTTTTTATTCTTATCTCAAGGTAATAAAACTTTTTATTTTTAACATTTCGAGTGCCTCCTAGGACCAACTATTACACATTGGATTTTTTGTTTGTGTTTTTGTATATTCTTTTGTTTTCAACGTTACAGAGCTAATGTTGACTGAAATTCTTAAAACTTTGCCACTGTGCAATGAAGTGCTGTTTCTCTACCCTAAGAAATCTATTTGTATAATCTTTGACTGTAATGATCATTTTGAAAGATTTCCCTTGTATCTCTAAAGATTTTTTTAAAATGGAACAAGGCATAAGAGGAATAAATACATTGTAAGCAATGTTAATTTAAGCCTATGTCCCTACAGGTCAAATGAACCAAACAAAGTCATAAACTGTTTCCAGAATTCATGCCTCATAACTTGATATTTTTTATAAAGTAGGGAGATGGCCTTATATGAACTGGGTGGGTTTTCTTCACAGACCAAGTCTAACAATGACCTTCCCGATCCTTTCGTCTTATCAACCTATCATTGCCCCCATTTCTAGAAATCCTACTTTAAAAATGTGTCTTCAG